CCTACATGTTGAATGGTTTGTTGATTGTCCTAGGTAAGTCTCTTTTTGTATCGCCTACATGTTGAATGGTTTGTTGATTGTCCTAGGTAAGTCTCTTTTTGTATCGCCTACATGTTGAATGGTTTGTTGGTCGTATTGTTGGTTGACTTGGTTGGATTGATTAATTTGTTGCATTTATAATTGGATAATAAATAAAAAATGGGAGACTGAAGGAATGATTGAGTAGACAGATTTGACTGACTGGGAAATGGATGGATAGATGGATGGACATATAAAATATGGAGGAACTCACATATCAACAGACAGACATAATAATTGAAATCTTTGAATCTGACTTAATCGATTGTATTCTTAAATGTCATGAATTTAACGAATCTTGCAGGAGCCAAGTACAAGGATGATTGTCCAGTAGAGAAGTATATCCCCATTTATCTCATTGTTGGGGGGTCATTTGGTATCTTTCGAAACTTCTGTTCCCTTTGCAAACGAGGAAAACAGCATGGTAGCAGTAATGGAGAGGAAGAGTCAAAACACAACCCGGTGGAAGCAATTGTTGATTGTTTCCTTCTTGCGTGGTTCATTGCTGGYAACGTGTGGATCTACTCTAAYTACAAACCAAGTTGGATTCCTGGCGAAAAGAATTACTGYAACAAGACCCTTTACCTGTTTGCTTTCTGGTTRACCAATACTACATACATAATGATCGGTGTAACTTGTGTGTGTCTGTGTTGTGCTGGAATATGTGCAGCTTTTGCATCATAGATTTGATGCTTACGCTGTAATAAATRCATTGATTGGCTTACATGCAAAGGAATGCACTAGATTGACTTGCATGTAAAGGAATTAACTAGATTGGATTGAACCTCAATGAATGCAATTGATTGGCTTACACCAAAAGAAATGAACTTGATTAGCTTAGTCCTAGTTGAATGTATTTGATTGGCTTACACCTGGATGAATGCACTTGGTTGGCTTACACGTAAATGAATGCATTTGATTAGCTTACACCTTAATGAATGTACTTAATTAGCTTACACCTTAATGGTGCACTTGATTGGCTTACACCTTAATGGTGCACTTGATTGGCTTACACCTTAATGCATTTGATTGGCTTACAACTTAATGAATGCACTTGATTAGCTTACACCTTAATTAATGCACTTGATTAGCTTACACCTTAATTAATGCACTTGATTGGCTTACACCTTAATTAATGCACTTGATTGGCTTACATCTTAATGAATGCATTTGATTAGCTTACACCTGAATGCACTTGATTGGCTTACACATAGGTAAATGCACTTGATTGGCTTACACCCAAAGGACTGCATTTTATTGGCTTAGACCTAAATAAATGCACTCCATTGACTTACACCAAAATGACTGTAAGTGATTGTCATTCCCATGCAGTTACATATCACTATATATGTAGACAAACAATTCCTTTCAAAAAAAGGAAGAGGTTATATACCTTACATGTTGGATGAACGAGTGATGTATTCATCCAGCATGACAGCTAAAACGTTGAACGTGCATATCAAGAATATCTTCAATTATTAGGACATTGCACGACATTTTACTTCAACTGACAGAGTTCGCTACGTATTTTCAATCTCATTCGGACTTTTTGGAACTTCTGCATTATGACAGACCTTGTAAGAAAGATGGTCAAAGCACTCTGTTAGTTGTATCAATTAAAACCGTTAAAACATTAGACTGTTATATCAATTCAAAGCGGATGTACAATAAATAAACTTAATTGTAAGAGTTAAGATATTTTATCATATTATTAAAGTATAAATTAAATTAATATATTTATTGTGTTGCTATTCATAGTTGACACBCTATTTCAGTAAAAACATTGGGCCTCTTATTGAACAACGTTTATCAGTGAATATCAAAATAATTTATGATAAATCGTAAATCGTGGACAAAGCCTGTGGTGCGTCGTACTAATTTCTAGTGCTGTCACGCAATTGCAACAGGTTTCGAATTGCGTGACTATACCAAAAACGCCTACGAGGAGACGAAAACTCCACAGCAGGATCACGTTTTGGCGCGCAACATTTATCATAAATTACAGCTTTCGCGGGAAGACATTTACCCGCCATCTATGCACAGTCGCACTTGAGCGTCCTAAGTAATAATGAATAAATAAAAAAACATGAACTTTTAAAAGTGCTGTTTTCCAGCTTGTTTTTGTCGATGCTCCTTCTTTTACACTTTATACATGTATTAAGCGTTTTATGTGGCTCCACTCCTTATATAAAAAATAGATGTTTTCAGTCATCGAAACGCTCTTTAAGATATTGAACAAAATTACACTCATTAAACAATGAAGACAAAGGTTTTGTACTTCATTTGCAGTGTTTTGTTTAGTTTGATATAATGAATGCGCAAGAGTGAAATTTCAGTGCCATTATGTAACGACTCTATTGTTATTATACATTTACTATTTTATTTATTATTTATAAATAGTTCAAACTATAAAAATCATGAACATAGACAAATTGCCTTTCCCCTCTCTTGTCCCCCTGCAACAAGTAAAACKTCTGTTATATTATTCATAAACCCGTTATTGGAAGGCGTCGTGACTATTGTCGAAAAGACGCGATCTGATTGGCTACCCAAGCATTGTTTGGTGTCCCCTTAATTTTCATTCCAAATGTACGATTCAATGATTCAGCTACAGACGATATTTTAGCGAAGTTTTCTCTAAAATTACCGTCTAGTTTTTTAGTTAAATTCTATTTAGTATGTACCATAGGCTAGGAATAACGTCTGGAGACTCACAAGAACGATTTCATTGAATAGAACCAGTGGGATGTCTCGAAGAGTATACGATCAACACGACCACTCACTAATGCCATATTCTTTATAAACGGATAGGTTATTGAGCCGACTGCTCTTTTACTTCAAAGTTAAGACACCAAAAGATGGTAAGTGATAATTTGAACACGCCAGCTTTCCTCTAGGAAGTCGTTTTGTAGACATAAAGATGTTTAATTCCCGGTGGAGATTAAACTCTATTGGATGGGACCCGCAAGATGAATTGAATTTACCTCTCGACCAATGGGTTTTTTTSTGATGTTTGGCTTTATCTATGAGGACAATCTGCTGGCTTCCTGACTCTTAACACATGAACAGTTTAAATTTCAGGCCACATGGTCAATTTTTATTGAGTTTTTGATTTGTTTGAATGCGGTCAAATTGTCTGATCAGTAGTTAGCTTGGCGCGAGGCTCAGCTGTGATCTTCGTCTCACCGGTCAGTTTCAGCAATGCAGTTTTTATTCACTTCCACTGAAAAGCCTCTAAAAGGTCATTCTAAGGTAAAGAAATTCTAGTAAGCTTAAATCCTGCTCTTTAAAGAGAAAACGATTGATGGKTTTGGAAAAATTTTACGCGTCTTAAACTTGCGACTAAACACAAGCGTAAACTTACAACGGCGTCGTGGGTTATCCTTGAATGACTGCGAAAAAAACTCCCAACCCTYGCAGATAGAATTCAGCAGTAAATAATGCCTCTCTTGTATCAAAATGAAAGGAAAAATAGTAATAAATTGGAAAGGAAGGTGTTTTACCATCTCTATTTTTTATGGCTTGAATAGTTAAGAAGAGTCGAAAAGAGMGGTGAATCAATCGAAACAAAGAGCTGAAATGGCTCAAAGCTCCTCAAATTGTCCTTTTCCACTTCAATTATTATCATTATTTTGTTAATCTAGAACAATTACAAAAAAAATTGTCTGTTACTAAATGCTTGAAAAACGCTCTTTTTCCGAAAACGCCTTCATTCATAATTCCAGCTCGTTTTTCTTTCTTCCCACTTCACTTATTCATTTAGATTTCATTTGAAATTCAATTATATCGATTTCTTCAAACTACATTCCCAATACCAGTTCATTGTATTATAAGACTAATAAATAGATAAATAAATATACCTTGTATTATATTTTTTACGTAATTTAATCCATGTCAAAATTATAATGTATGCAAATATTCTAAAGTTTTTTGTGTGAAATTCTGAAACCATAGCAGCTTTTTTTTATTATCACTGTTTGACTAAATTGTATGTTATAATGAAAACCTATAACTGGGCTTTTGAATTTAAATATAAAACACTAAATAACTTTGAAATCATTTATCTATTAAAAAATACATAATATATTACTGACTCCATGAAATTAACTTTAAATAAGTGGAATGGTATACATTTATTTGATGTCTAATTTATTTACCTCCCCAGTATGAAAAGAGCACAAATAGAGAATATATTGATGATGAAAAGATATGGGATGAGTCCCCACCACCACCTTACGAGTCAGACTTGTTTGGACAAATTAAAGAAGCAAAAGAGTCTTCTGAAGGCTCATTAGATTTTTGTAAAAGAGTTGTACAGCTGTTTGCTGGAACAAGTAAGTTGTAAATACATTATTCTATGTAGACATATATCCATTTTACATGTAAGGATGTTTGGGGCTAGTGTTTTCATCTAATCTATTATAATATTGATCAAAGTTTGATAAGAGCAGAGAAAAACACAAATATTATGAATTGTAATTCAATAGCAAATTTTCCTCTKSTCTCATTGCTTGGAAATTGACCACTTGATGCGATAGTGTCTACCATGGAGGAGTACTATCAGTTCATAGAGCCTGCCACTTCAGAATATTTTCTAGAATGATAAAAACAATAGAGAAGTTTAAATCTCRRGCATAACGCTGTGATAGTTKTCCTTGAAAGCTGTATGTTCCTCAAAACTTTAAAGTCACCCTCTTGGTCAACTATTTGTTTTTTGGGACATCCAGTTTCAACTATCACAGCAATGACTACAGAAGCACACACTACAGAAGCACACTTATATCAGAGAACAGAGGGAAAGGCAGTTGTTTTCTATGTCTTTTATAAAATCTTTTCCTATATTTTCTGAGTGTGAGAGCAGGAAACAACCTCTGTTATTCTGATATAGACATGGACATCAGTGCACATATATTTTTTATTAAACGCAGCCACTCAATAAGGAGTATAGAATGTTGTCTCGGAAATCRCGAGGCTCTTCACCAAAAAKTTCTCAAGGCTCGCAAGCTTGGCGCTTAAAAGAAAGGGGCTCAGATTTAAAATCGGTTTTGGCTCGGAAGCTCACAATTGCAGAAATATTGGATTCATTGCGCCAAAGGCTTGGACTCGAATTTTAAAATGAGGGGCTCACAGGCTGGACGAGGCTCTGATTTTACCATTCGATACTCCTTCAACACATGTTGTCAGTTGATCCCACAATATATTGTACAATCCACTCACTGATGCTATCAACAATTGACATATTTCAGTTGGATGTACTGTAGTTTTAAGCCTGTTAATGGCCCTGCCGATGGCTATGGTTATTATGGGTAAGTAAAAGCATCCATCCACATTAATTTYGTTGCAAAATGTACTTTGACTGTATGAATTAAAAACTGTGAAAACTGCTCATACAAACAAATGTAGAAATCAAAACCTCGTTTTGAAAAATCCTTTGAAAATKAGATTATTAAGTGACMGCTGTTTAGTGCGATAGAGGAGTTTTTTTCCTAAAGTTAGATATGAAGTTCATTCATTCATTCCCATTCATTCATCCATTTGCTGTTTTCMCATTTAGGTGCCAAGTACAAAGACGAATGTCCAGTTGAACCCTTTATTCCAATTTATCTCATCGTCGGGGGATCGTTTGGAATGTTAAAAACAATTATTGTATTATGTCAAAGAGCAAGAAGTCACGATGACTCTGATTTAGATATAGACGAAGACCAATCAATGTCGAGTAAATTTATCGATGGCGTTCTTAACTTATTTCTATTCACATGGTTCATCGCTGGAAATATCTGGGTCTACAGTAAATATAAACCCAATCCTAGGCCTCCACCTGGAGATGAACTCAATTACTGCAATCCAACTCTATATATGTTCGCCTTCTGGGTAATAACTGCRAGTTATATTCTTATGGGGGCTATATGTTTTTGTATCTGTTGCTTAGGAGTTTGCGCAAGCTGTACAGCATTCTTCGTTACAGTCAAAGATTAATGTTTACCTTTCGATTTTGACAAAATATTCAAACGTACGCTCTCGAGAGTGAAATATGGCCATTTCGTGCGTTTAGTGTGAATGGGATGGGATTGCGYGTAGTTCAAGGAACAAGTAGTTTTGATAGATTAAGGTGACCTATACTTTTTTCTTGTTTAAAACAAGTAGCTTACAATACAACCAAATCCACGTACATAGGAGCATAAAAACTCCAACCTTATTATCTAGAGCAGTATCATTATATAAAGTTTTATGCCGCATTTGTTGGCAAAGTTGTAGAAAGAAGTTACGTTCCTCATATATTTGTTAGGGAGGGGAGGGAGGGGGGCAATTAACGGATTATTGCTCATGCGTAAAGATTGGAATTATTTTAAACAAAATACAGAATTAATGATAATATTCAAGGACAAATAAAGAAGGAATTATTATATTTAACTACTGTACCTATTTTGTTAAGACACACGATACGCGTTTCGTTGCAATTTCTATCACCATTCCCCCCGCACCATTTTTTCAGATGTAGCAAGGAGCTGGTGTCCAACCCCTGCACCCAACAACTGACTGCGAGTCTAACCCTTATTTATTCCGTTACCAATGTCTTGATAAATCAAAATAATTAAGATATATTACGGCCTCCTCTCACTTTGGAGTCTGATTCCCAGACTAGTATCGCTTTTTGGGAGACTAGAAAAGCGTTAACGTCGGAACCAGGTCCGTCATTAATTCCCTGGGGGGACTCCCTAAAGGCCGATTTAGACGGTGCAACTTTTGCCTACAACTATCGCATGCAACGTGCGCGCGTAAGTCATCTTTACAACATGMCTACAACTGTCGTAGAAATTAAAAACAACTGTTTGATAACCCTACAACAGTTGTAGCCATGTTGTAAGGATGACTTACGCATGTTGCTTGCGATAGTTGTAGGCAAAAGTTGCACCGTCTAAATCGGCCTTAATGAAAAAGGGCGAGGGTCCTCGTCGTCCCTTTTAGGGGTTGAAAACAAATTTTGTTTTGGCAAAATGGCAACAGTCATAARACTTCATACGGCGTGAAGGTACTGTATACACTGCAATTTTGTCGCGTCAACTTTTCTTAGAACGCCGTTGTGATACAAGGCAGAAGATTATAGCCCGGTACTCAGCACTCTTAATAAATTTTGGGCGGTAATTAAGCTTGAGTCAAGATGCCAGATATTCGAAAAGAAATTGTGCATGCGCGTAACAACGAACACAGCGGCGTTGCGAGRCAAGTTGCTGAGAAAATTGCAGAGTGTAACCGTGAACCCAACCGTGACCAGCGTCTGTCGCTCATTCATGCTCATCATGCTCACTCGCTAGAGACGGTGAAAACACTTAAATTGTGAAACAAAACATAGCCAATCACTTGAAGGTTATTTTTTCTCTCTCCAAAAAAAAACAAAACAAAAAAATCGCAGCAACTTTATTTGTACTGATCATTTTCAACAGTCTGTGAAACAATTACTACTAGTCAGTGTTTAATAGTAACTATTAGGGTGTAGTAGGCTACCAGAAGGCAAAATCAAAACCATGTTTGCTTAATTAGTTTGTGGCATGTCATAACTATTGGGAGCTAAAAGAGGGTAATAGTATTTAATAGGGTTGGGTGTTGGGTGCTATTCGTCCTTCATGGCAGCACGGGTGCTGAATTGCGAAAGACGCAGCTCGACGCGCTCTCAAGTAGTACACTTTCCTATTTCACAGACGGATAAAATGACTCTAATAAAGATATTCGTAGGACTAGACGGAAAAAACTTTCCTTACGTAGACTGATAGTTGATTGGAAAGTTTCTGAACTAAATTCCGTGATGAATATGGAAGGTCTTGAGACAAAGGTTGAGACAAAGTAGCAGCCAATGGCAGAGGAATAAAAATCGAAGGATTTTTTTTTATTCTTTGCTGTGTTTACAGCCGTTGCGGCAGATATTTTTTTAACTGTTATAAGTTTGCGAGACTTTCAAACAATCATAACATAATTACCATTGGATAGGTTGGCCGCATAAAATTGGAAATAAGGATATGTCATGCATCAGTGAACGAGGTTGATCATTGGAAAAATAGTCGTCAATGATTTCTGATTGAAAAGGACTTACCTAATTGGATCAGGTAAATGTGTATATGTTTCCACATGAATTGTAGGGTCGATATACATATCTGGGTACGAGGTGATCACGGTTAATGCAGTGCCATTATGTTCTAACAATGCTTTTTTCTAACAATGTGAATATTTTTATGAACAGGAACTCTGTTTGCAAATAAAACTGTAGAAAGTATCTTCATCAGCCGCATCTGCAGTGGTTTTCTTGGGTTTGGCTCCACTCTCTGCCTCACGACAGCGAAAATTAGAATTGTGCGCTTAGTCAAATAAGAACTAATACTAGGCATAGGAAAGACTTTGTCCTCAAGTTCTCTGCTCAGTGTATGCTACTAGCCTCCTTCGCAGCCAACTCTACTCTGTGGGATCCCTGTGTTAAGACACCAGTTCTTCTCGGTCATGATTTTGAACACAGGAAGACCAAAAAGAGAACAAAGTCCGTTTCCGTTGGAGGAGGCTGCGAAGGAGGCTAGACTGGTACCTACCATCCAAGCGCGTTGGGTGACTCGTGTTCTTAAAGGTTTGGTGAAGTTACCCTCTCCAAATGAAATGTGGAAAGATATATTGAAGAACAGAATGCTTATTAAAGAATCTTTGAATATTAAACACACCAAGCCATGCACTGGCGGTACCAATCTATGTTAACAATAGCACTGTCATATAACTCCTTTATCTTCTATTTWACTGGAACAAAATTCTGAAGTGATGCCTTTTTTACCAAGGCGGATCTCAAAAATAACTCAAGCTCATGCAAAAGGTCTCAATGTCATCAATGGGGTTAACCGTGACTAAGACGTGAAACGGCTGAAAAATTAGCCGTGAGTCGTGAAAATGCGAAAAAATTAGCCGTGAGGCGTAAATATTTTTTTATAGCGTAGTCAAAATAATTCACCAAAATCACAGTAAAATGTAAAGGCTGATTTACACGGCACGATCTGTCGCGCGCGACTTGTAGTATACGATTTTCCTACTACAAGTCGTAKGATTTTAAGCAGTGGTTCAAAACCCTACTTCAAGTCCTAGGTTGCGTACGACTGTTGTAGACAAGTCGTAGGGGCATTTACACTRCGCGATTCAAGTCGTATACTACAAGTCGCACGAGACAATCGTGCCGTGTAAATCAGCCTTAAAGCTTCTTCGCCGCTCGCCATAGTATACAATCGACTTGGCACTCCTTGGCACTTAAATTTTTCACGTCTCTGGACGAACTCCCGGACAGAATGTCACGAAAAATGTCCGGGAGTCAAAATAATTTTTAATTTGATTATACGATTTATACGGGCATACGGATTATCATTCATTCTCTTCAATTATTAGTATTCACTAGTTTATATTCAACTAGACGCCCCTGGGGCGTGAAGTCGGACTAGCTATTTTTGAAAAATTGATAGACACGAGTGAAAAGATTATGATGTTACATTCTGTTTAATCATATGATTATATTATGAATGCAAATGAAACTTGAGAAAAACAGGAGGATATTACATAAAATATAAAAATTAGATTAAAATATATATTTCTTAATTTTTCTCCAAAATAGCCGAACTCACGGCCTAATAAGAGCGTCTAGTTCAAAATATCCAAACTCTCTTGAGACGTCTCTTGAGACTAAAATAAACTTGACCTAAAAGGTCATGTAATTAATATAACAATGAACGTTTTAAAAGAGTCCTTGCTTTCACTGATAAAATCAAACGTGCTATGTACTGACAACTAGACAAGCTTTGTCTGAGTGACGCTAAGTGATAACGTTGACCTCTCAGGCCAAGAAAATACTTTACAAATTAAATGATACCTATAAAACCATTAAACTCGCCTTTTTTTATTGATAAAAAATGTTTCTTCTTGTTCTAATTTGAAATCTTTGCCCACACAACACTGCCTAACGCTAAAAAGGCCATTGATTTAGTTTCGAAAGCATACTACTCGAAGCACTAAGCGATCTGCACATGCGCGAACTTATGATACCTAGACTGATGCATTCCGATGAGATCACAGATACCACATTTGTAAACGAATAGTTTTTTTGTCATATAAAAGCGCGAGTAGCATATAGCATTTACTAACGATATTCGTACATCAATACCTTTGAGCTTCCGGTCGTGTAATAACACAGTCAACCCAATAGTTAATTATTAAATTCTTAACTTCCGGTGGTCCAAACGCGACATGACACATAGATAGATAGATTGGCTAAAAGGTAAATTTAAAGTCGGACCGCCTTCGGCTAGTCCGACTAAGAATTATTTGATAATCAATATTAATATATTTGTAAACTTTATCGAAAATGTGGAATGTTGGAGTGTAATGTTGGAGTTTCAGAGGTCTTAATTGGTTTTTAGTTGAATCTCGGCAAATCTTTGGCAACAGCTAGTATCGGTCTTAAGAATTTCAAGAGATTTTTGTCGTGTTTTTTATCCGAATACTACTGCTGCCTGTCTGATATAAGAACTGTACTAGTTTACCTAAAAGGTATGAAAGAGCTGCCCGGTAGCTTAATTGCCACCGTGTGATCGGCGTTTGATGTGTTGCATGACGTTTTGCTGCATTTGTATTACTCTCACATGGAAAATCTTGTCCCGAATGCTATTCTGTTGTGAATCCTTATTGCAACGTCTTTTATAAATAGATAAGGGGKAAAAACAGACGTTTTCAGTATAATTCAAAATCATTTATTACAAAAAATTAAGTGTCAGATTCAAATTTTTTATACCATAAAAATCAATAAAAACTACTTGGCACAGACGGCAATCATATTTGGTTCAAGAACTACATTTGATTCAAATAAAATCCAGCGCAAGTAGCACTTTAATGATTGTTTCGTCGTGTGCTTGCTCGTTTATTAGACCAACTAATGACAACGTCTAATTTACATAACATCACGTGACTATAAAACTACAWTACGTAACATCTCCCTTYCTTCAGTTAAGGCAAGTAATCTGCATAATGTAATGACATTATAAAGCAATATAAAACAACATCAACAAACTGTGCAAAGTTCAGTAATCCTAATTCACATAACAAAATGTTCCAAGCCTTCTTTCAACAAAATGAATGTCCCGATTACATAACAAAGTCTTTAAACTTGGCAGGTAGTTTAACATCTCTGGTTCTGGTTTTCTGTGGTTCTGGTTTTCTGATTTCCTGGTTTTCTTGTTTCAGTGGGTTGACCACAGGCGGTGCATCATCACTGCTGCTTGTCTCTGAGTTGTTGACTTGGTTTCTTTCTGGGTTGGACATCTTTAGTGCTTGTCTGTTCCTTCTCACTACACGATTGTCAACATCAACCAGGTAGGATCTGTCAGACAGGACTTTTGTACAAGTTCCTGGTCGCCAGTTTTGCTTTGCCCGTGTAGGCGCAACTCTCACTTCTTAACCTACTTCTATCTGTGGAAGGACCTTTACCTTTTGGTCATAGTATAACTTTGCTTTCTGTCTCTTCTTTTCTATTTTCCTTTTCACATCTCTGGGAACTTCTGGATTAAGTAAGCTGGAGACGGTTGATAGTAAAGTTCGTGTCCTCCTTGACATAAGGCGCTGAGTTGGGCTGGTATCAAGACCTTCAGTTGGGGTGTTTCTGTAATTAAGTAGTGCCATGAATGGATCATTCGATTTCTTGAATAGCTGCTTTACAACTTTGACAGCTGATTCTGCTTTCCCATTGCTGATAGCATGATATGGTGAGGATGATAAATGTTCAAACTCCCATTCTTTTGCAAACTGTTGAAACTCTTTACAATCAAATTGTGGTCCATTATCAGTAACTAGAGTATCTGGAATACCATGACGGCTGAACTGTTGTTTCAAAGCTTTGATTACTTCAGCTGATATGGTGCTATCAACCAGTTCATCAACTTCTATGAAGTCTGAATAATAGTCAACAGTTACTAAATAGTTCTGACCTTAACAGTGACGAGATCTGCTGCTAGTCTGCTCCATGGACGATCTGGAACTTTATGCGTCTGCATTGGTTGTTTGCTGTTCTGTGGTTGGTTCTCAGCACAAACTGGACATCTATCCACTATTTCCTTGATGTCTGAAGACATGTTTGGCCAAAATACCACATCTCTGGCTTTTCTGATGCATGAGGTTATGCCTTGATGACTAGAGTGGATCCTTGACAGGATTTCTGGCCTCATTGCTTTAGGTATGATGACTCGTTGATTCTTCAACAGGATACCATTGTACAGGGTTATCTCTTCGCGGAAGTTCCAGTATTCTCTTATGTTCTGAGGTACTTCATCTTTTGTCTCTGGCCATCCTTGCAGGACTGTGGACTTTAGGGTTTCTAGTATGAGATCTTGTCCAGTGGCTTTCTGAATCTGGTTCAATCTGTCTGGGCTAACCTTGATGGACTCAAGAGGGTTGATTGACTCCACCTCGACAGCAAATACTTCAAACTCGGATTGGAACTCTTCTATGACAGGAAGTGGCGCTCTTGACAGATGATCGGCTAGATACATTTGGCTGCCTGGTTTGTAGACTACTCTCAGGTTGTAACGTTGTAGACGTAGCAACATCCTTTGTAACCTCGCTGGTGCTGAGTGTATTGATTTCTTGAAAATGAATTCAAGGGGTTTGTGATCCGTTTCAAGTGATTTCATCCATTCCTGCAACATACTGATTGAATTTATCACAAGCGAACACAATGGCAAGGCATTCTTTCTCTATCTGGGCATAGTGTCTTTCCGACGTGGAAAGTGTTCTGGACGCAAATGAACATGGCTTGCCTTCTTGTAGAAGTGTTGCGCCCAGGCCATATTCACTAGCATCACATTGGATTGTGACAGGCTTTTTTGCATCAAAAAATGTTAGCACAGGGTGATTTGTTAT